TATACACGAGAACGAAAGAGGCCGGCAAGAACCACATGTGTAATACAGAGTAAAAATTCCTTTATTGCAAAAAAAAAATGATATACATAAATATATAAATGCGAGATGCCGACATGCGGTATGCTTGCCACTAATATGTATATATATATATATATATATATATATACGAGATGTGTAAAAACGAACGATACTTACAAGTGAAGCGAAAACGTATTTATTGTCGCTCCGCTAGGTGAAATCAATTCAGTGGAATTAACGGTCACCCACAGGTAATGAGTTCTCGCCAATCGGCGCGGAATAAGGCGCAATCGCTGCACTTGTATTGTGCTACAGTTGTTTTGTATCCTCGACGTTGGAAGCACACAGTAATACTCACTCACTCACTACATAACTTCATTATGATCCGCTTTAGTCGAAAACGAAGACCTTCACCACACCATTCGTTCTTTGTTGATACCTATGATAAGAGTACTTTGAGCATGGCAAGTTTCGCTCGCGTACGCCACTTGCAACGGTTCTAGCACATGATATCGCATCATTTCCATTGGCCACCGTATTTTGTAGGAAAGCGTGTTTTTGGAATGACAATGTAACTTTTTAGCATACAACTTCACTAAAATAGCTATATGCGAGCAAGAAACAGAGCGTATAAGTTTTTACATTACTTGACATTGACACAGTGGATTTTCTCTTACCAAGCGATTTCTCCAGCTCGCTCCTTTGTATTCGCTTCGGGTTTTCTGTGCTGTTATTACCGCCTAATTTTACAACTATTTCATCCAGGCAATATTACACCGTCTGCAGTCTCCTTGGCAGAGTTCGATCCTTTCGTTTGCCCTGCTACATTTAACTTCTTCTTCGAACGGCTTACTACACATCTGGGCACATAACTACGACATGACCAACATTAACAGCCGCAGAAATCGTCGTTATGGTTGGAGCGCAGCTGTCGGCGCTGCCGCCGCAATCACGTATTTGCTTCTGAAGAAGTTCCTATTCACTCGCTGCTTTCGACAAGCTGAATAGCTCACAGACAGTTTCCAGGGCTTATGCTCTCCTCTACTGTGTATATTCGCCTTTGCCTGTACTATTAACGTGAAGGAGTTAAACCTGTTAATCAGCCGGGTCGTAGTTGTCGCCGACGTGACTTTTGTTCTCAACACACTTGCCAATGTCTACAATGATCCGGCGTTGTATAGAACCATTGTGCCGATGTATTGAACCACCTATTCGCCAGCATCGAGGTCGACGCAATATTCTCTAAACGCAGCGCCAGCCGCTACGCAGGAGACGTTTTATATATATCTATATATATATATATATATGTGTGTGTGTGTGTGTGTGTGTGTGTATGTACAAGTGAGCTCTTGCTAGCTAGTTGATCGCGTGCAACAATACAACGTGACCACGATTGGTAAGCGGCGACAACGGAACAACACGGAGCAAGGAAAACAACGCTGGACTCATATAGTCAACAAGACGCCAGCCAGCTAGATAAACAGGCAGACACACGGCAGGTAGGCTCCCTTTATGAGAATGGGATACACACCGTGTGAGCGGGCTAGAAGTGTTACTGCTGAATGTGCACACACTACACACAGACATATACATTAACGAAAAAATCAAAACAACAATAATTTCGTACTCGGCCTTTAGTACGTCTTCCATTGGGTGCTCACCTAGTAGTTGATGATGGTCGATGGCACTAGAGAGGCGCAAGACAGCTATGAGCGTGTCGGACTCGGAAGTTCTTGATGAAAGCAATCAGCATAGTTATAGGGTTGGGAACGGGACACATACTAGGACTAATACCTTCAAGCAGAAGAAATTGTAACAGTGTTGAGTATAGATATGGGTGTGTCTGTCATTTGACAATTTTTTGAGTATGCGTCAAGCTAACAGTGCATGGGTAAATGTTGAGGCAGTGCCTATATCAATGTAGTACGAGGAATAATAAGTGCGAACAGGTTTCTAGTACCAGTTTTCTGGCAACTGTACATTACTCTTTTGCATTCAGTCAGATCAATACTATTTGATATTTAATCCGTAATTCATTACACGGTCGTACAATATGCACGTTCGTTTATACACAATGCTGGCCTACGTGTTACGTGCGACAAAAAGTATACCATCGATTGTTTTCAATAATAATCAAATGGATTGTTCCTACGCCCAGTAAACGATAATAATCGTTGTCACGCACCCCTTAAACGATTCATGTCAAATAGGCTGACGTGCTAATTACAAACTTGTTTAAGAACAAAACGACTTCATTTTTATTATGCAATTGTTCTACCATAACTTGAACAAGACTAACAGCGAATATTGAGAATAACAAATATTCTGAAAAAATACTGCAGCAAAGCACCACAGCACCGTACGAATGAAGAGACTGCACCTAGCAGACGACACGGCATTTGAAGAAAGGGTGATCGGAGTATTGTCTTTACCCACATAGGATTAGTAGGCTACCAGCCGATTTGCGATTTGATGTGATTCGTATGTTTTCTGACGTGTGTGACGTCTAACCCAGAAGTAGAGAGATGTACACAACCATTGTCACCTTTAATTCTAGTTTCAGGTGCCTGAACCGAGTGTCGTCATAGATCCTGTTGGAATCTAGAATACCCGTGGATCAAACAGTTACCGATGTGAGGGAAATCTACAATAAATAGCACCATAAGTATAGTATATCCCACATAAACTATATCCACCCTTAGGCGCCGTCCCTATCTGTGATCATCTCCAGTTCAGTGCTTGTGTAGTTAGAATCAATGGTCTGGCCAATAGTGAAAGTGCAACGGCTTTTTGATTTATGTGGCATTTGATGAAATAGTTCAGGATTGTTCTGTGGCGCCAAAGAAAAAGTTCCACCCGGTTACGACGCGACTTTCGTCAGGACGCGGGCCTGTCTCATTGGGGTACATCCACTAAACAGCTGGGGGTACGTACGAACCCGTGCTTTTGTTAACGAAACGAATGGGGAAAGCTGATTTTTAACGTTCTAGGCAATAAGAAAAACTGAGATTCCCAAAAAAAAAGTATGTTTTTACACAATTTGTATAGCTCGAATTAATGCTAGAGGCAAATTTTAGTTATTTTTGTAACCTGATTATGTCCACTACGCCAAACGTCATATGCATTGGAGAGGGGGGGGGGGGGGGTATCGCATTGATATGAGCAGACCACAAGCTATGGTGTCCTTTTTTTCAGTATCGGCCTTTGCTGAGTTTATGACAGAACCAAGAACCATTGTATCTTTAGCGTCGATTTCAAATAAAAACGAAATATATGGTGTGGTTGTGTCCCCTGGCACTATGAGCAGAGATGAATGCACTGGTGCTCCACGTTCATACTCATTATTCTCTTGTCGGATTCTATTGATTAAGCGATGTACAAAGATATACAAAGAACACGTCCATCTGACCCATAAAGATAATCAAATATTTTTTTACTGACGTTTCAAGTAAAATATGAGCGATTTTGACTCCACTTATTCCTATTCATCTTACGATATCCTCTTTTTTAAATTATTAAAACGAATTAATTGAGTACTGGTTAGTATTTTGGCAGCTGCTTTAATGTTCAATACAGATCATTAAGGCAAAAAGTAAAGCAAAAAGAGAACATAAAGACACGTCTTTATGTTCGCGCGTTATGTATACAATAGAACTGCAGTTACATACGGATTGTAAGGTTCAACTAAGGTATGCCATGGGTGCTAATTGAATTAGTTAACGCACATTGAGGTAGCAGCGGTTGATGATGTGGAAAGGAAAGTTTTTTCTTGAGTAATAGACCAAAATCTGAAAATATGACTGGGCTAATATTATGATATATCGCACCTGTCAGACCGATTTCACTGTTTTGGGTCTTTCATTTGTAAAATCGATAAACTAATATCAAAATAGTGCGCTTCATCGTTAAAAAAAGACCGTTTCAGAATGGGGATGCTTGAGGGTGTGTATCTGCTGGCCTGTTTCAATACATCACGCATACATTCTTACAAGTGGAAATTTAGATATAGATTTTCATAGTTGAAGTACTGCCATGTAATCTTAACCGAATAAGTTGGCGAAATACTCTTTAATTCATAGCAGTTTGCCATAAATAAGCAATATTCGATTGACTAACCCGCAGACAGAACCTCCTTGGTCGTCATGACGTGGTTCAACCAGTTCAACCAGATTACATCTCATGTGCAAAACTTTGCCCGTGATGTTTTCGATCAGGATGGCAATTACAGTGAGTAGTTCCTTTTGTCACTAATTTCTTTGAGAATCGCAACGAATAAGCGTTTAAAAGATTTTAGACTTTAAATCTCCGACAAAGACCATCGTCAGAACACTGTCAGAACTGTAGAAGTTTCGATACCGATTTTTTGTACCAATGTCTATTTGATAGAGAAACATTCATAATAATAGAATAAATAACAATAATTTAATAAATAATAATATATTAAATCTACTTTTCAGATTCTGGCCAGTCGTCCAATCAGGAAGGGAATTCGGCATCAGCAGCGGTTAGCGATACTTTCATGATGCGCTTCTAATATGTTCAATAATGACAGTGACTATCGTAGAACTAATAAATAACGTTTATCAATTCGAGAGATAACGTTTTCTCTATATATGGAAAACCCATGTTGCGCCGGCTAATTTTAAACATCACCTAAACAGCTTTATGCAGGCACTAACCTATGAATCATTATAGATAAATTTTATTTACTTCATGTTATTCCATACGGCGCAAGGCACTTCAAATTCAATATGTCTCTATCTACTCCAGGAAACCATCGAGTCACTTAGACAGGAAAAAACTCGTTTAGAAGACTCGCTTCTTCAGCTCGACCAACAATACCAAGAAGAGATGAGCAAAGTTATATTAATCAAGGACGAACTTCAAAACAAGCTCAAGCGAGCTGAAGGCGAACTCGAACAATATCGAAAAGGTGTTACGCCAATGGCTCCTGCGGCTGTTCACGAGGTTAGCCTCGACGACTGGGGTGATGATTGGGGCGATGGTGGAACTCCGCCAGTTGTGTTCTCTGCAAGGAGTAGCGGGGATCCGAGCCCACTCACAGCCGTGGGCTCATCTGCCGCCAAACTGGACGAAACTGCCCATGAACTTCTCGAATTGCGATCATCTCTGGAAGAGGCGCAACGACAGCTTGAAGCTGGCCAAGGTATCAAACTAGAGTTTGAAAAGCTGAAACACGAAAACAACACGCTGAAAAATCGGCTGGAGGCTCTGGAACAGGAAAATGAGAATCTCGAAGCGGAACTCGAAGGAATTCGTTCAGAGGAGGCTGTTACTAGCGGTGGTAGTGTTTCCTCAGCGAAGAAGTACGAGACGTTTTGTAAAGAGGTTGTATCGGTTTTGCTGGGAGATGCTGAACTAAGTGACGAGAAACTGTCTGAAGCGCGGGTCGGCCTGAGCGATCTTTCTGATAAGGTGCAACGATTTGAGCACAGTACAAACACAGTAGTTAAAAATCTCGAACTAATTGCAGATCAGAAAAAGACAATACTAACCGAGAAAATAGCCCTCGAAGATGAGCTGCGTTCGCTTCGGAATGTCAACGAGGAGTTGAAGACTATCCAGGGGCAACTGAAGAAGGCTACAACGGATCGTGAAGCAATAGCCGCTAAGCTAGAGAAAGCTAAAACAAGTGAAGCTATGCTTATACAACAAATCGCTGAGCTGAATGCCCGGGAGCGTGTAGCCGATGTCTCGAATCACATGGAAGTACAAACCGAGGCCGAGAAGAGGATCACCTTAATGAAGCAACAACTTGAATGTGAGCAAGCTGCGGTTCAGGAGCTACAGGCTGAGCTCGAAAAGGTACGAGCGTCCGCTGCCAACAGTGTCGAAGCAATTGAGCACGAACTCACGGCGAACAAAGAGGCATTAGTTGAACTAAAGCAGTCGCTTGCCGAATCCCTTTCTCAACTTGAAGTTGCTGCGGCCCGCGAAGCGTCGCTGACGCAAGAACTCCAAAATATCCAGGTTCTTTTAGCTGACCTTCAAAAAGAGAGTATCAGCGGTCACGACGAGGCCGCCGTTCTTCTCAAGACAACCCGTCAACAGGAGAGTAAGATTTTGCAATTGACTGGCGAGTTACAGCTGCTTCGTGTCGATGAATCAAAGCATATACAACGAGCAGAGGAACTTGAAAAGCAGGTAGAGGCGCTAAGTCAAGCTACTTTAGCTTCAGTAAATAGCCAGGAAATGGACGAAGAAATGGCAAACCTTCGTCAGAGACTAGAAACTAGCGAACAGGAATTAGAGCTGTTGCGACATAGCCGAGACAGTGTAGTAAGCGAGTTAGAAGCAGCCAAACATGAGTTGGATATGTGTCAACAGAAGCTAGTTCAAATACAAATGGAATCTGGTCAGGGACATTCGAGTACGACGGAACAGATAACAACGTACTCGAAGCAACTTGAGGCTGCCGAATCTGAACGGCAGGAAAGCGCTAATAAATTGGCGAATGCGCAGAGGGAGCTTGAAGCGCTGCAGGTAGTACGGCAAGCCCTGGAGAAGGGTATGCAGCAGCTCAGTACCGAGAAAGAACAAATGATTGCGGTTGTGAGCGACAAGGCTCGAGAAAACAATGATTTGAAAGGACGGCTCGACGGCCTGATGAGCGCCTTGGCTAACGAGAAACAGCTTACGATTCAGTTGCAACAGCAACTCCAACAGACGCAGGGAGAGGTACAGCGACTGCAGCAGGCGCCCGCAGAGCCTCAAGCAGCCACGCCTCTACTGACAGACAAGGTAAATCTATTAAAAAGAATTCTTGTCGAATATAATGCTTTGATGGGGTGGTATTATATAAGTGTTTCATAGCAAATAAAAAGTGGCGCCGAACATAACAACTCAAGATCTATAGAAAACGTGTAAATTTTTTCTAGTTATTTATTTAGGCTATATTCGGGAAGTATCTATCGGCTACTGCTGAACGAGCTTCTAATCAAGTATGTAAAGGGTTTAAGTGTGAACAATTTACTTTTACAAAATTTTTGATTCCATGGACTGTTTACTTATGTCTCCTTCGCTGCTAATGCTTCTAGTATAAGCAATGGTGAAAATTCTTTACTTTAATGGGTACAGCGTACATTTTGTTGCACGGCTTTTTTTTTTTTTTTAATAAAAATGTGTTGCTTTTTGTCGTAGATTGCCGCACTGGAAGGTGAGCAGCAAACTCTTACACGCACAATCCAGCACAAGGGACAAGAGAACGCCGAACTGAAACAACGTATACAAAAGTTACTAGACAACGAATCTCGTCTAAACGTCGATGTGCAACGATTGAGAGCGCATCTGGCCAGTGAAGATGAACGACATACCAAAGAAATACTTGCCCATGAGCATCGAATAGCCAGCTTACAACAAAAGGTAGTCATACTTGTGCAGGACAGGGATAAAAGTAGGTTTGACACTACATAATACATATTAGACGGCTCCACAAATAGTTATATGAATATACTGAGATGTGACGACCAGAACGAATAAGACCATATGAATATACTGAGATGTGACGACCAGAACGAATAAGACCTACAAATACTTTCTCAGAGAAGCACCGTAATTTTTCAAGTATTAGCCAACTGTTTTGCAATTTATGCTTTGCGTATATTTGTTATTTGCGAGCGCCAATGTACGCTAATCTCTGATGAATTTTGCGTGTGCTGTTATATAACTTGCTCGCAACGCATTGCCTTCCCGTGACTATTGCTGTATACGAAATTTCTATACAGCTCAGTGAGTTTGAGGCAAATGCGCGTTACACAGATTCGAGTGTGCAGGCTGTCACCGCAGCGGCCTCTGAACGGGTCGAAATCCTCGAAGCGGAACTGGAAACAGTTTCATGTCAGCGGGACGAAGCCTTGGAGGAACTTAGTCAAATGGAGGACCGCCTTCAGCAAAGTCAAACGAGCCTCGCTAGCCTTCAGGTTGTTCTCGAACAAATGCAGAGGGAAGCTGACAACCAGATTCGGACGGCAAAGGTCAGTGAAGCGTAAAATTCTGCCATTAAGGCAATAATCAGAAGCGCTTTTTACATTTAACCTTACTTGACAAAGCGGTGTAGCTAAAGATATACCATCGATGGTGATATCGATATAAAATAGGTTGTATGGGCAAATGTTACATGCCGTAAGTACAATCATTAGAGAAATACGTTTAATATATGTATAAAATGTATCATTCGTCAGCCACCTGTCGCTGTGTTCCAAAACAAATTGCAACAATTTAATCATAAAAAAAATTAACGTAAGCTATTTTTTGTCTTTGTTTCTTTGTAACATTTTACAGAAACAGTACGAGGCAGAGCAAAAGCGCAAAAATGAGCGAATTCTCGAGTTGGAGGCCGCGGTCGCGGCAAAAGAAGAGACGCTGTCGAATGTATCGGAAACGGTGCAAGCTACACAGCGACTCTCTGAACAACTGGAACAAAAAAACTCCGATTTGAGCAGACTTCAGCAGAAGCTAGCTGAAAGTGATGATCAGTTGCAAGCGGCGCTTAGCAAATGTCGCAAGGCTGAAGGAGCTGAAGGTCAAGTAGAGAAGTGAGTTATAGAACGTGGTCGTGTAACGCAGGCCGGCGATTATTTTTGTTGCGTGTCATTTTTCCTTCGTAATGGTATCTATTAATAAAAAAATTAACTGTGAAATTTAATTTTCATGCTTTTTGTCACGATTAAAACTTAATTCCAGTAAAGTCTGTGTATTGCTTGATAGCATGGGAGAACGAAGCACCTCAATACACAACAGGTATCTAGGCAGGTAGACCTTACTTGAACAAAGACCAAAGTAATACTTCTCTAAACAACCCAATGCTTATCATTGTATTTCTTTTAGGCAGTTGATCAAGAACATGTTACTCGGATACTTCACGGCTCCGGCTGACAAAAAGAATGATGTCCTTCGATGTATTACCGGCTATTTGGAATTTAGTGAAGGTGAGGCTCGCAAAACTGGGCTGGGAAGTGGTCAAAGAGGATTTCTCGGTATTTTCGGTGGAGGTCAACAATCAACCAGTTCCGGCAACGACCCGAATGACGTAAGTGCATTAAACATATTTGCAGACGAAGACTAAAAGTTAAAAAAGTTACTCTAGGCGTGTGTCTGTGGTGTATTTGGTTGTCAAAAAAGGATTGACCGTTTTTTAGCCAGTGAGCTTAATCCGGTATCTCAGCTAACATAAGTCGCATCAGGTCGGGTAGAAGGCTTTGAAAATAAATTGAATGTCTGCAAAAATTCATTATTTGCTATTGCTGTTTTACGATGAAGGCACAAATGCTCCCCAAAGCCATAAAAAAATTGATGCTTGTAGTAAATATGGGATACCGGAAGGAATAGCGTGAAGATGGTTCTGTGGCTTTCATTCTAAAAATTTCGATGTGAAAGATAATTTCTTATAGTGATTGTCCAATTACAAAAAAAGTTGATGAAATTATGCAACACGTAGGCAGCCATGAAATCATGAAGGACTAAACATCCACCACTATCCAGTTTCAAACCGTTAAATTAGTTGACGAAAGCTGGCTCCAAAACGAAGCTGGAAGTTTGGACGCTACATGAATCGATACAAAAGAATTTATTCGATTGTATTTCCATCTGTGAAACTATACAGATACGTAACGACATTGTTGCATTTCTGCAAAGCAGTTAAGTAGAGTTGATAAAAAATAAATCACATACGACAATAATGTGCAAATAAAGAAAAGTAAAAAAATGCTTTTTATAAAATGTGGCAAAGCCCAGACTGGTGCCGAAATGTTATACTATGTGTCTGGTGTGTTGGGAAGAAAATCGTGCATTAAAGCTTGCTTTGTCAGGCAAAACAGTCGATTCGGACCTTTAGTAACAACAACTAATAGGATTACAATAAGCTACTGAAAGAAATTAACTGGAACAAGTGAGCAGAAAAGGCGCCGTTCCCATTATGACAATGTCAAGCAGTACAAATCTTTAAGCAATCGGCAATTATTGAGAGAAATTCATTGGAAAATTTTAGTGCATGCGTCGCACAGCCCGAATCCTGTATCATCAGGCAGATATCTACTTCGGTCCCCGCAGATCTGCCACAGATAAAAGTACTTGCTTTAATTTTGCTTAAAACCGCGAGTACTTTTTCGACAGCCTAGCGTAACTTTTTCGAGCTGCATGAAACGGATTCTTATATTGATAACAACACCGCTGCAAGTTACCGCTGCCAGTTCAGTTTTTGTTTCTTCTTCAACAAAGTTCAAACACCATAACAATAAAATTCCCCCCCCCCTCCTTTGTTTCTTATCGTTCCACAGTCGTTTACCAACCAGTTCATTGCATTTCTCGAAAAGGAGTCCATGCCCAACGCCCCGCTCAAACTTCCCACTGAGCTTAATGCAACGTCGCACCAAGACAGCCGTTTACGAAAGGTGATTTCTTCATCATTACCGCCGGACCAGCAGCTGCCACGTCAGATGGCTTCTTCCCCCTATCGGCATCCACCCACAGACAATCCTTTATTTAGCCATCTGCCACAGCAGCAAAGTACAGTTTCATCGACAGGCGACACCACTTCGATGGTGACATGGGCACCTTCGCTTGCGGGAAGCAGTAGGGAGTCTACCGCTTCTGAGCCTGAAATGCTCCGCGAACTCCTCGGACAGGCCCCGTCTTCGTCGCTGTCATAGTCGGTAATAGAATTATTAATGGGATGCGCTGATCAGTAAGGGACCGGAAGAACAGTGAAATATGAAGCTAAAGAGAAGTTAGGTGAAGAACGGAGAAACACTGAGAAGAATGTGAGGAGCTGTAACGAATAAGGTCGGATTTGTGGCGTTTTTCAAAGTGTATGATATATATGATGTATTGTTGTTAATATAAGGTGAACAGGAATCATGAAAAATGTGTTTCGGATGTTCGACATGGCGAGTCCTGACCATGAGAGACAAACCGTTTCAATGAGTGGAGAGAAGTCAACCAAAGGCACCAATAATTAATACATAGACGGAGATAACTGGAAGGATTTTATCAGGCAGTTGGTTATGATCCGGTTAAGGAGATTGAACTGGACTGAATTGGTATGTGTTATACCTTTTTTAAGCGTTAAATATGTTTCTAGTTAATGGTACAAACAACAGTTCAGAGCAATAATGATTTCTCTTTGAATAAGAAACAATGAATTCGTCGAATGATTGTGCTGTATTTCCCTTAAAAAATCGATTTTTGAGATATGATCAACGTCAGTTATGGAAAGGCGCTATTTACCGGAGGTCTGAAACACAAACAAGACAATGAGCATTTGACGTCACTGAATTTGTGCTGAGATAACAGTTTCGAAAATCAATTTTCCCTCGCAACCTAATGGACCGCAGGGATGAGTTTAGGTACTAGTTAGGATACTAATTGTTTACGTCCGAAAAAAGCATTGATAGAGATTATAGTAAATTAATCACACGCTTTTGAGCATGTTTTAGTTCTTTGAAGGAACGAGTTCCAGCGCCGAATGGGTTAGTGATTATTGTGCTAGAACGCAAGTGTTAGATTTACTTACTGCTTTTAATTTATAACTAGGTAACTCGTAAGATTGACACAATAAATAAAATTCCACAACAACTCACGAACAGTATGTTACGACAGTGTCAGTTTATCAAGCTCGGCATCGCTTTACCCAGCTCTATATATCTAATAATACTGAGTGTAGTGTTAGCTTCGTCATAAACCAACGACGCTGCATGATTTCCGCGAGTGTTAATTTTGTTAAGAGAGCACAGGTGCCGCATACACAGACTACGATCCTTCAAGAAGTACCCTGACAGCGCATGTAAAATGATAGTTGAAATTGTGGGGGGGGGGGGGGGAACTTACGTTAATAACGCCCACCGTAGAAAAGCTGCAAGCAAACAATACAGACGTGACGAGCTGTAAGTTGGCTACTATAGTTAGTTCAAAGTGATATCGAATTCACCAGTGAGAAACGAGCGGCGAGGTCAAGAACTAACAGTAATGATCATGATACTAAAAGGATGGATTTTACTGCTTAGGCTTTAATACCGCTGCTTCTACTATTAATAATCTTTTGATTATTTTAGGTTGGACGACATTCATTAAAGCTGGCCAGATTGAAGAAGTGTCGAATAGACGTCAATTGATAAGTAAATAAACCAATGAAAAATACATAGATAAGTGAATAAAATAAAGTTGATTAGGACTAAGTAAAATTGGTGTTCATTAACTGGAGAGAAAGTTTTTACAGATATTTGAAATTTTTTGTTTTTCTAAGTAATTCAAATATGTGGAAATATATCCTGTATATAAAGTAGGTATTTATATTTTTCTATGCATCATGAGCTAGGTTGGTGATGGCGACTGGAACATCTACTTAAAATCTACTTCACAACGATCCTACCTAATATTCGTGATTTCCAAAAATATATATTGGTAAAACAACCTACGCTCGGTTTCGGACCTAAACCGCTTATGTGCCCGTAAGTTTAGTAGACAAACTCGATACTACTGCGCTATTGCCGGAACCAAAAAGGTATGCCTAATATCGTCCTCTTCTTCCCACCCAACAAATTTAAAATTTTAACTGCGAAAAAATTAACGAAGCTTCGGAAAATGCAGTGTTGTTCCACAGATTTTCAACAATCACCAACATGTTTCATAATATTTAGATTATTTATAATACTAATAATATCAGCTTATCGTGAAGAACATAAACATACGTCCATAAAAAATACATTTTCTAAATGCAAAGGAATTAACGCGTCAATGATTCCATGTATAGTGAACTGTCCCGGTTGCTAGAATTGAATAAATCGTAACTAGACTGATTTAATTCGAAGTGGCCCAAAAACAAAAAAACAGCTATGTAGAATGACTCATCGTTCGTTCTTATTTTTCTCATCAAAAAATACATATATTAAATGATTACACACTGAAATAATCTAACTTGATCAGTTCTCCAGTCTGATAACGATGCTATTAAGAAAGCCTCTATTCCTAAGAATAAGTGAACACAGGTAAGTTAGTAATGCTTCTTTGTGTAAGCTGGCTAAATACAACTTTGAAATTGACTTATCAGTCAGACAGCCTTTTTTGATTATTCAATAATCATGTCAATCAATCAATGATCAATAATAATAATTAATCAATAATTTTGAAATTCAATAATAATGACAATAGATATAGGATATATCCCTTTGAGACAAACCGTTAGTGATGTCTGCAAATCACTACAGACAGCGATAGTCGTTTAAATTTAAAGACTCACGGGTTTATCCTATTATTGACGAGTGAATGAGCACAAATGAAACCACCGATTAAATTTTTTTTTGGTTTATTGCAACGTCAGCAATGATTCCTCATATGGGAATCTGGGTGAATGAAATTGTGAGTACTGTTTCAATAAAGTACAAAGAAATGTTTGATTTTTCGAAAAATTCTCGATATAAGTTATTAGGTTATGTAGGATAAAGATGGATTCATTTAGGCCGGCTATTTGTCGTAGCTGAGGCACGTCCACCCATTACCCTTGACACTACAAAAGTAACTGACGAGAAAGGAAATCTATTTCTAGAACAGAACCACAAAAATATCATGGTGTGGATAAAACGGATAAGAAATTAATCATCAGATTCTAAGCTATTGTTCGAAGCTTTCGCATCAGACAATGACAATGGCTTTTCTTTAATTGCTTGAAATTTAGGGTTTACATTGCGGCCAGCTTTCATGGCAAGAATTCGGGCAAGATTTCCCTGAAACAAACCCACATTTAAAAAACTTTATTACATGCCTGTTTTTATCTAGATACAGTTTACTAACTAAAAACACCAGTTTTGTCCCAGCTTGTTCGTATCAGTATATATAGATACATATAATACGTCTAATCTCGTATTAGGGACGTACAAGGAATCCTTAACCCTTCTACACATACGATTATCACGAAGGATCCACTGTTGCTTTCATACAAGCGACGATGCGCGCCGTCTTTTGAGCCAAAGCATGTATCTCCCTACCGTGATAATAGTAATTAGCCTGATGCAATGTGAAGGGTCATACTAAATTAATTTCACCGTCAGTGAATATCAACACCTAACCCCAGGATTGATTTCCTTGGTTTCATATTCGCAGATATCCTGAACACCCTAAGTTCGATAGATTATATGGATATCGTCTACATTATTACATATTTTCTAGTGTTTCACGTAAATGGCACTGTCTTTTCCTACCAGAAGCCTTCGGTCGGGTAAATCGGTCTTGCCCTGAGAAGCCAAGTTTAAGACAGGCTACGGAGTTGACAGTTGCACCTCGCCGATAGCAAGTCTGTCGTCATCCACATTAGTGTGAGTTATAACAGCTGTATGAATTCCTCTCATGTATCATTGGTCCCGTTTGCTGCAGGTAACAATCATTAATTGTCGTGCAAGTCCACTTATCGTTTGGACTCCAAAACAGAACAGTGGTAGTTAGCTGCGATGTCTATGAAACTCACTATTACATATTCAGGTTCTCTTTACTCTGAGCTTCGGTTGTCGGCTCATCGATATCCGCTACCGATGTTTGATCACGGCATCTCACCGACCAATCAGTCCGTCATTCCCTGTGGCTATTTCCAATTAGGTCAGTTTTGAAACTGTGCGCTCACCTTGACCGGGACTTCGAAGTCGAGACTATCTAACTGGAAGAATCTGCTCGATGGTCCCCGTACAAAAGCGCGGTTAGCATAGACACTCTGCATGCCTAATGCGCAGATTTGCCCAAGTTGCTCGGCTTCAGCTAATTCTTACCTGTTTTACTACTCTACGTAGCTTGTTCATATAATGCGACGGATTCAACCTAGGCGACCTAAATCGCGTGCATTTATGCCAATGTTATTACCAGAAAATAAAGAATGCACTTCGTTTTCGTTTATTGAGGAACTAAAGCGGTAACACAATTGTAGCTCTGTACTCTGTGCAATAGAAGTAATAATATTTTCTGTCGAAGTTCAAAGCCATTCGTACTTGATCTGATTTTTATTTCGAGCTCGAGTTCGAAGAGAAGAGCCATTTGGCTGGAACCCCGCACTTTGATCGCACCTCAAATTCTAATGCGATAAGTGTCGAAACATCCAAGAAACAACGAGATCGATCCAGTTTCAATGGGATGGAACATCTTTTCGTATTGACTGAGATGGCTTTCATGTAGCCATATAGGAAGCAATAAGCGTTTTATTTTTTCGGTGAAGTATCGAAGAGCGTGCGCACTCATAAAACATCCTCGGGCATTCAAACTAGCATCCCCTAATCTGTACGAGCAGTTCACAACCTACATTTGTACGAAGTTAGCTTAGAATGTGTAGTTGGAAACCTTGGCTATTTGCGGGATAAAAACATGCATCTAGAGTAATGTTTACTTAGCCATTGCTACTGTGCTCGGAAAATGCTTTAGATACTGCTCTGCAGACGTTTTTTTATCTGTGACCCGAACATTGGTAATCGAATATATCATTCATGGACAAAATTATCGTAAGTGTGCTATTAGTTGACCACCATGAAGCGACCTTTTGCAATATGCGCTTCATATATGCGCCGCAGCTGCATCAGGCTGATTGAAAGATCAATTTTTGTTAGGTTCTAAGGTGCCACATATCTGGGTACAAATGAAAGACAAGGTAGTCGCCTATACCGTATTTTGATGAATAGTAGGAATCAAATTATACTTCACTGAGGTATGGATCTATTTATATAATATAGACGTATATATATAAGTATATCGGGGTATATAGAGATTACGTTAGCGCGGACTTCTGTGTAGACTTCACCTTTCGTGTGTGTTCTTTGTTCAATAAGATTAATCAAATTATTAAAATATGTTTTATGAAAATTATTGGCATCATCATTATAATTATCATAATAGTCGTGATAATAAATGACAAAACAATTAACATCAGGCAATATCAGGTCATGGTATCGCTATTGTTTATTTGTTCATTTGCCACATTATTACCTAAATAATATCATCTTATAGTTCTCTAGTAAGAATCGTAATATGATTTGTAATAATGGTCGTAATAATTATAATAATAGAATAAGTTCAGTAAAGTTGGTCGCAGCAGCAATCTATATCGCTTATGTCGCATGTTTAATACTCAACACATTTGGCCACTTTGATGGAAGACCATTACATTTGTCGTTACTTATCGTCATGTGTATATATATATATATAGATATGTAAAACCAACAGCCTGTTTGCTTTCCCTATCGATGTGATTTTCGTGCGCGACCACAGAATAGACATGTGTTCAACAGTTTTCATCAACCTTTTGACAACAGTGAAAATCTGTGAAATTTGTGCACACTGTAAGAGAAAAAGCGATCGTGTCAACTCGGAAAACATATCGAGTTCTCTATTTCACCAATGGGCGATAAATAGATTCTCCTTCATCGAGAGCGTTTTGCTCGGCAGTTGAATTTTACTTCGATTGAACATCAATCTCGAGTAAAAAATGCAACGATTGGCAATTTTCATTGTATTTGATATGGGTTTTTAAGTATTAGCTGTTGAAGATGCTTGTGAGATTGATGAATCAGAGAAACCACCTTGTCCAAATCGCTTTTGGCTAACACGGGTAGACAATGGCGTACCTTATGCTTCCAAAGAGGCAGAGATATATAGACGATAAGTGCACTCTCGCGTTATTTAGCGCTTCTATATATTTATAATGAGTAATAATCAATTGGTAAATGGCCCAATTACTAAACAATTGCAATAGTCGTCAAGATACAACATTAATTCTTCGTTTAATAGCAACGTGGAAATAGTTAATCAACTCCGGCTAAAATAGAATTCTCCTCCGTGCCATCTGTTGGCCATTGCCAGGCCATAAAAGTAGTACAACCGCATATTTATGTATACCGTAAACCTTTTCATGCTTAGTAACATCGTCTTGTAGATAGCACTTTTCTTCGTTCATTTTTCTTAATTGCCCTTCAGCCACCCCCTTCTTTGGACTTTCATGTGTTTCAACCCAAATGCTTGATACACGCAAAACCCATTTTCCTTTGTAGTAATCATTTAAGTGAAACAGGTTTGGTGGAAGTTCGTTTGTAGCGTTAGCGGAGTCACAAATAATGCTAACACCTTGAGTGAGGTTTGTCAGACTGCTTTCGATTAAAACAATACGATGTATTCCCATTTCCCGCTTTATTCACTAATAGATTTTCTTGTGTTCTATCTCACTAGCTAATAGCCTTGCAACGTTTTATAGGTTATCTATAGATTATTTTCTCATTACATTTCATTAGCTACATAGGCCGAATCAGTGGAGGCGTCACTTTTAAAAGTGAGGGAAAAATAAGATACAGACAACAGTGGTAAAGTTACAGGTACTTGTGGCTGATCTGTTTCTGCCAGTTTGTGATTTCTCTCATACTGCGTGTGAAACGACAATCTACAGGATCACGCAAGACAAAAAAAAAACGAGCATCACGTAATGTCACTCAATCATCAGTGAAAATTCCTACAAATAAATTTCAAAAATATCTCGTGTTTAACCGTGGCATCCATTGCGTGGGTGGGAGATAGTGGTAGTTTCGATGGCATTAGGCAGCAGGATATGTTGACAGGAACGTGCGCTTTTGATGAAAAATGGTGGGCTGGTAACAGGGTGTTCAGAAAAACGGCAAAAACAATGAAAAAAAATTCCAGAAGATCTCACCCCATATGCTATAAATGGTGCCGCAAACCAAGCGATCGGGCTGAGGAACTGATGACGATATAGTGTGGAAAAAAGATAAGAACATCCAGTCAATCTGGTAGTCTCACCATAATGGTAAGATCAACAGAGCAAATGTAAGATTATGCTAGTATTGTTGATGTACATGTGTCTGTTTGGTCCTGATGGCTTCTATTCTAGTAGGTTGTTGTTGTTCCGGTAATTGCTACTCTGTTTGTTCTGTGTGTCGATATATATATATATATATATATATATATATATATATAT